CTAAATGACTGAAATATAATTTTCTAACACAATATTATTCCACAAAACAAATAAATAAATATGTCTATTAGAGACAAATATGCTTTATTTAGCCCAGTTTGTAATTAGAGCAAATGTTCATAGTTTTTAATATATGCAAGACAATGTCTTAAGTGTTTTACATATTGCTTTCACCCTAAAAAGACTTTGAGTTAAGTGCTATTAATATTACTTTACCATTGTGCAAATGCAGAAACAGAGTCACAGAGTAAATAACTAATGTACCTAGTAGTGTGTCAACTGGTGGCAGAGCTGGGATCTAAGCTCAGTGGCCTGGCTTCAAAGGCAACACTAACAACTCTATGACTCCCTCTCTAGTCTGTTCTAAAATACTATTGTTGAATGTTTCTTGCAGTGGGTGACACTTGAAACCGTATCATTATAATGTACATAAAGCCTTCTTGTATTTGAAGGCTAAATTCTAGCAATTCAAATTTTTGACAATATCAGTGTTTTCTTTGTAGTATTTAAGCTATAAGAAAACTATGAGAATGTGTTTAGTCCAATACCTTTCATCTACTACCTGAATACCTTGGAGATCAGTCCAAAACCTACTCACACACATATCTACTGTTAAAGATGCATTTAGGAAGATATTGGAGCCCTTCTTCCCTAATAACTAAAAGCTTCTTCTAGAATTTAATTGGTGGGCCTACTAGATATTAAGCATTCTGCTTGAGCAAGATAGTCTCACATGGCAAAGAATTGTCTTGCCTCAGATTCCCTACTAAGAAACAGTGCACACTCCCCTTTAAGGAGGGGTTACATATTCTGAAATAATACCCATTTTGTAGGAATACTAAATAGAAAAAAATTTATTACAATATGCATTTACATCAAGATATATATACCATTCAAGAATAAACACTATATGAATTTTGAATTCATTTAGTAGAATATTTTTTTTTAATTTTCTCTGACTTTTAGAGCCACTGTCATGAGCTAGCCTTTTGAGTTTATTAGCTATATGCATTCTAACAGAATGTTTCTGAAGTTATAACCCCATCCTGGCCTGACTAATTCAAACTGAAATAGTTACTATAATACCCTTCATTTCCTAAGACTGTGTACCTGCGCTTATTGAGAGTCAGAATGAACTGTCATAAATGCTAAATGATTTTCATTTGCAGAGCCCGTTTATTTCAGCACTAAAAAAATAGTCAATGACAAGTGTGGCATGACTTAGTAGAAAAATAAGAGACTCTTGAGTCAAACATTTAGCCTTAGAAGCTGATTTTACCACTTTCTAAAAGGTCATTGCTAAATTTCCCAAGATCCTACTGCCTGCCCCTGAAAACAGGAACGCTATCCCTTGAACTAGATAGTCTGTACAGCAAGGGTCAAGATCCAATTTCAAATTCTTTTTGAAGACAGTTCATGAACAATAACACAATTTTGACACCACCACCACAAGTGATGTAATGATAACAGAGCTTTGACCCTTTACTCTTAGTGACAGCATAGAGGAAGAAGGAGCACTTTCATTACTTTTACTTTTTTCTCCTTAGTGGTGACTCCTGAACAGCTTGGGCAAAATTAAGGAAAGGAAAATAATATTGTCTACATATTATCTAAATGATCAAGTGAGAAAAGTTAGTTAATGTCCTTTGTCATGCTTTATGATGTACCTAATGAGCTACATTAAACAGTGACGGTGCTAGACAAAATGACACCCCTGTGACTGGGAGTGTATGAAGGACGCTTCTCAGATGATTCTCAAAAGGATAGATCACACTGCTCACTGGGTTTTGGGCATTCTCATAACACTGTCTTATTTAGATTTGGAACTTATGTAGTGACTACCAAAGTGTTTGGGCATATCTGTGTACATGAATGGATTAATTCTAAAAAAAGCCAAATCACTTTTTAAGCCAGTGTGAATATAGATCAGATTCCAACTCATCAAATATCTATCCCAGTCTATTCAAATGTTTGGAAAAATCCTATTTCAATTCTAGCATATCTTTAGGAACTTTTGAAATACTTTGTTTTGTTTCTTATCTCAGTGTACACACATATTAGAAGTCTGGCTATTTTTTCCAAAACTATTGTTAAACTTTTTAATTACTCTTACATTTCCTACAGGATAATATCCTTCCCTAAATGAATGGATAAAATCATGGACTATTTTTGAGATTTTATAGCAATCAAAAGCCAAGCTGCATATATTTTACCTCTGTAATTTATCTATGCCCTCCTTTCCATTCCTAATATCTTAGTTTAGACTTCAGTTACTTCTATCTTAGTCTGATGAAACAAATTCAGTTTTGTAAATTAGATTTAGCAGACAGTTATCAAGAATTTACTCCAATATCTACTAAGTACTTGGAATTCTGAAAAATGGCCTTTGTTTTCAAAAAGAATGTAACAAAGGCCCTCCCTGGTGCCTCAATGGATTAAAGTACAGCACTGCAAGGTAGCCACAGATGCTTCAGTGAGTACAATCCCCCCAGAGGTGACCCACATGGTGCAGCAGACCTCTCCTGCCTCACCCACTGCTCCCCTCAGCAGTGTACTTCATCAATCTGCTTGCTCTGCTTCCCACTCTCTGGTGATCCTCTTGCCACCCTTGCACCTCTGGCCTGTACCCCAGCTCTGTATGCTTAAATAAAATAAGCCTTTAAAAAATATGTAATAATGTAATAGAAAGAACAACAGCAACAACAACAAAAAAAAAAAACAGGCAAAGGCACTCTTTCTGTCTTGTAGAACAGAATATAAAATTAATCTTCATTTAAACACATTTTGAGCTAAACCTCACTCTGTTCAGGAAGACAAACATCTGTACTCTGACCCAGCTCTGTACTCCTATTTTGATTTTTCCACAGTGACTCAAATGTAGCACGAACTAAAAAACAAAAACAAACAAAAAAAACACTACCCAAATGCATTTTTATAAAATCATAGCACATTATAGTGATGCGGACCCTAGAACACATTCTAAGTTCATCACTTTATGGACTCCAAACAGTGATTTTCTCAGTTAGTGACAGAAGTGGCACACAAACTAGGCCCTGGTTCTCTACTCCAGCATGCTTTCCTGTACTGGGTACCTCCAATGACAGGGGTAGGGAGATGAAACAGATGCTCTTTGTAAATGTATGAGCCATGGGTCATAACATTTAGTGTTCTAATGTAAGGAGGTAAGAAGATACACAGACTTCTCTAGCTACAAAGTCATTAGTATTTTCCATTCTCACTTCAAAAGGGAGAGGACCAAGAATGAGGGCTGTATTAATAATATGAATGTGATTTCTTAGGAAATAAGGAAGAGTAAAATTATGGGAGGTCATACTCTATGCCAGTGTTAAATTCCAGATGAACACTTGGGATATTTCACTGGTAGCAGACTTCTCCAGGTATTTATCACACCTCATTCACATGCCTCAAGGACTGATAATCAGCTTCCACTACTCATGTAAGAATCTACTGCATTCAAGATGGATTTCATAGCACCAACATGACATTAGGGAAGCAAATTTAGCCTCCTTATTCTTTTATAGATAATATGAATATAGATAATATGAATAATGTTTAGAATCTTTCTAAAACATATATATGTGAGTGATAAAAGTAAACTCGTAAAACAATCATTCTCCTTATGGGCACTATCCCTAGTAAAGTTAGTAAATCAATAGTAAATTTTGGGTTTGATGACCTGGAACAAGAGTAATCTACCTTTCAGAGAAAAATCCAGATTTGCATTTTCATCATAAGATGAAATTTCATCATAGGATTAAAACTATCACTTCCCCACTTCCCCAAGGGGAAGGGGAGAAGATGCATTACTTGGGGATATTACTGGCAAGAGACCGCCTGAGGCTGAAGAGTTGGGCCATCAATCCAGATACACATTCCCTCGTCCCTTTTTCTCTTTTCATTACTGCAATCCTACCTATACAGACATCTCAGATGAAAGAAAATTCTGGGTGAGAATACAAACACAGCAGAATATATGCAAGAAGGATAAAAAAGAAGAAGATAGAGAGAAGAGAAAGGAAAGCTAAAAAAATTACAAGGCAGAAATGCTACTAAATGCATCTCTATCAACAGAGAAGGAGCACTGCACACTGAACTGGTTGTTTTTCCCACTCCCGCTACCATGTAGCTGCCTTGGAATATAATTGTCAGTATGCCATGAACCTGTTTCCTAAGTGGGAGAAGAACTCCTGGGAACTAGGGACAAGATCTGAGTGGCCAGGTGAAGCTATATGAGATAGAAGACAAATAGACTCTTGGGTCTCTTTGCTTTTCTGGGTTTTACTTGCACCCAGAGATGTGAGGGTACTTGCAAGGAGATGCATAAAGGAGAGAGATGTAGAGGCACTTAAGAGACATATGGATGGGAGACACTTGGAAGGTTGTCCTTGGCACAGACAGATGGCCATTTGTACTTTGATGTTGCTCCTTTTGTCCCATACCTGTCTAACTCCTTTCTTGTCAAAGGGTACCTTAGACTTGTGGTAAGTTTTTAGGTCTCAACAGGCCCACTTTGGGTAGACCTGTTTGGCTGGGCATTTGACCACATGGGGATAGGTAATTTTGAGAGTTTTGTGTGAAACTACTACTAGTAAACCCTTTCTCCTCTTAAGTCTTGACGGTATTAAATTTTATGAAGGATCTTTCACACTAAGAGTCTGTTTAATTTGCCTTTTTGTGGAAGATGGCTGGATCCCTCTTAGAGCGTGTCTCCCTTAGCATTTTGGGTCTCTAGGTATTCTCTTGTCACACACTAAGAGAAAAAGCAAGGAAGAAGGGGCTGTGAAGGATGAGTCCACATATGAAATACATAGAGCCATGGAACTACCCATAATGAAACAAACGTTGGGCTTCTAGAGGTATGCCTGGAATCTTGATCTTGCTTTAATTGTGGCTAGCTCTTCCAAGGACAGTCAAATCTTAACAAGATCAGATAATTTAATGACAAAATGTAAACAGAACAAAAATAGAGCTTAGCTTACATCTTGTCCATTAATGCCAGTCACACCTGGATCTCCTTTTACTCCTTGGTCACCCTAGAGAAAAACACAATATATAATTAAAAACTTCATATTTGAAAACCTTTAAAAAGGAAAAATTAGAGAATTACATTGCTTGGGTATTAATAACAATGTCTTTACTTTTTGATTCTCTTTAAGGAAACATTTATTTAGAAACAATTTTGGGTTCTAAAATCAAGAAGTTTAAAAGTTCAAAAAGAAAGACTACATAAAAGTACTAAAGGACAGATAGAAGATAAGGATTATCTGTTTTTTTTCTAAGAACCAAAACAACAACAACAACAACAACAACAAAACCTTCTAGAATAAAAACTGGCAATATATCATCAAAGATCTTTTCTTTTCTTTTTGATTTCTACCCTCAAGTGTAGTCCCTGTAAATATCCCCTTACCACATCACCTGTGAACCATGATGCCATGGTCCCTTGTGCTCTTCCCACCCTAGTTTTGATTCCTTTTCCTTACCCTCCTGTTATCAAGGATGTTAATTATCAAATTTCAATTGGTTAACTGATTTCACATCTAAAGAAATAGAGATTCAAGCAGTTTCAGGCATTAAGGTAGAGTGCAATGCTGTTTACAGTAGTAAAAAAAAAAAAAAAGAAAGAAACAGGGGCTCTCCCTGGTGGCTCAACTGGTTAAAGCACATTATGAAGCGCTTTAATGCCACTGCAGCATGAGTTCAATCCCCGGGCAGGGAGCTGACCCAAATAGCGTGGCAGACCTCTTCTAACTTGCCCACTTCTACCCTCAGCAGTGTAATTTGTCAATCTGCCTGTTCTGCTCCCCACTCTGTCTCTGGTGAATCTTTTCATTCACCATACCTCTGGCCTGTAACCCAGCTCTATAAGCATAAATGAATCTTAAAAAAAAAAAAAAAAAAAAAAACACCTAAATCCTAGTAACAGAGAAGTAACTAAATAAATTATGGTATGTAATGAATATGATACAGCCATTAAAATATATGGATTTTATTTATACTATAGGGAAATTCTCTTGAGGTAGAAATCAGGATACAAATAAAAAATATACAAAATCAGTGAATAAGTGTTAGCAATATATAGTTTTATCATGTTAAAGTTAGATATTTATAGCAGGAGTATAATGGACCAGGTGAGAAAATAATAATAATGAACAGCTATATACCAGAGATATTTTATGGGGGTGGAGAGGGGAATGGGATCAAAAACAGTGGGGGGAGGGAAATGCACTGGACTGTGGTGATGGCACAGGGTGATTTGGTAATGGAAAGCCCATAAGGATTACAACTGAGATGAAAAATGCACAAAATGATATAAAAATAAACTATTATTTTAAAAAAAACTGTTTAAAAAAAATAAAGTTAGATATTCAAAGTGCTACTAATACCATTGTGGGTGACAACATACCCATAGTGAAATATATTTTGTTAAATACCATCTGAAAGGTCTATACATTTAATAGTAAAACCCTACATACCTATATATAATTCAATTTTTTTAAAAGTTTTGTTCATTCATTTATCTACTTATCTAACTATATATTTATCTACCTGTGGCTCTCAGAAACAATACCAGAAGGATACGAACACAAGAACAATGAAATTGACTAATCAGTGCATTCTGTAAAATACATAAATATTATCTATATAATCAGTAAAATGTTTAAAATAAAAATAAGGACTATCATACACCACTGTGTGTCTCTGAGACAGTATTAGCACTAGTAGCAGCAGTAATAATAATAGTAGTATTCATCCATGACCTTGTGGCACTGGGGTGACTTTTATTCTCTTACTTATATATTCTGTTGCTCTTCATTTTTTCCTACATTTAACATTATTGTTTTTTTTTAAGATTTATTTATTTATGCATACAGAACTGGGGTACAGGCCAGAGGTGCAGGTGTGGCAAGAGGATTCACCAGAGACAGAATGGGGAGCAGAACAGGCAGATCGACAAAGTACACAGCTGAGGGGAGCAGCGGGCGTGTCAGGAGAGATCTGCCAAGCCATGTGGTCACCTCCGGGGCAGGCGGGAATCGAACTCATGCGGAAGTGGCTTTAGGTTCTTAGTGCTGTGCTTTAACCCACTGTGCCACCAGGGAGGGCTCCTAACATTATTGTTTTTATTTGCAAAAAATTTTAAGAAAAGCAAACCCCCTGCTTTTAAGATATATTAGATATTTTACAAACAGAAATACACATGCTTATTCTCAATCTTCTAAGGCTACATATGTAATTACTTTACTGAAAACACAGGAAATGAAATAGGGCATGAGAATATTCAAAATACATATCTAGAACAAACAAAAGTGCCTCTGAGCACATTCAGTGAATTTTGAAAATTAAGTTCAAGTTAAAATGAAGCTGTAGATTTTCAGCTGAAATTACAAAGATGAGGATATACTCCAGAGCTGTGTTGTCCAACATTGTAACTACTGGCCACAAGCAGCTATTTAAATTAATTTCAAAACTCAGTTCTTCAGTTGCCCTAACTGCATTTCAAGTGCTCAAAGGAGCCTACAATATTGCAACATGAAGATTAGAATAGCTTCATGTCACAGAAAATTCCATTGAATAACATTTATCTAGGGGATGTCATATATGACAGAAGTTAAGAGCTTCAGAAATATGTGGGAAAAATATCTATCTACTAAAGGGATCAAAACAACATAGTGTCTAAATGTTGACATAAAAAATGTTTCAGCACAGTTAATATTGAAATTTTTGACACAGGAAGACAAATGTAATTTCATGAATATCATCTCAAACCTTCAGAATGTAACTAAAAGTGACTAAAGTATTAAAAATTAATGGTTTTCATATACATAAAAAATAAGCAACTATACATATTAAAGTGCCTATAAATAAATATGCAAGATGATAGTGCTAATAAAAGTCAAATAATAATAAGAAGAAAAGAGTTGATATATTCTTATGGGTTTTGTGTTGCATAGCAAGAGGGTAAGAGATGCAAACATGGCTAAGTAAGAAACTTGTTCTCCAAACTGATCACTGAAAAATATGCAATGGATTTAAAAAGGAAAATGTTAATATAAAATATAAGTAGAGGTCCCTGTGGCCAAATAATGTTAATATATATTATTTCAAAACAATGTTATCTCATTTAAAAACCAACCAACCAAATAAGACTCATAAAAACCATTTATTTTATTATCATTATTACTAAACCCTTTTATAATGTTTACTATAGCCAATACTGCTTTAGCATCTTGCAATTTTATGACAATTAAGGATAAAGATTTATTACCTTCAGTTCACAGGTAAAGAACTTAAAAGGAAGAGGCTAACTTGCCCAAATTCACATAAGACATAAAAGGCAGACTCATCACTCTACCCAGTCAACATGGATGGGTTCAGAATTTGTTAAGCTCATTTTGTTTAGAAAAAACCAAGGAATGTATACTAGAATAATTCTCAATCATTAATAAAGATAAACTCTTGCTCTTTGTGACAGGAGTATGTATTATGGTAAGTGAAATAAGTCAGAAGGAGAAAGACAAATGCTGAATGGTTTCATTTATCTGAGGAATATAAAAAAACAAGCCAAACCAAAGACAGACCCTAGAAATCTAACTACAGAAGGCTACTAGAGGGAAAGGCAGAGAGGGAGGGAAGAGAACAGAATGGGATGGAAGCTCAATAAAGTATGATGAAGGACTCGAGTGCTTTGGTAGTAGGTGTGGTGTGGTATCAGCATCTGAATGGGGAGATCCCATTACCTCTAAAGCACAAGTAAATTTGTAGATCAATGTTACCACAATAAAATATATAAATAGCCAAGAAATAATAAAAATATATGGTATACCTTTATTTCTGAAAAAGTTGGAAAATCTCTTATTGCATCCCGTAGAGTAGGAAATAGACATATAGGTTGGGTAATATCACTGCTGTCTAGTATGCAGCTGATATAACTGGCAGAGGAATGGTACCAAATGGGTGGATCTGTCTCTCTTGCCTCTCGCCTCTTGCCTCTTGCCTCCCTCCCTCCATTGATAAAAGATAAAGGCTTCTTGACCTCAGCATTATTGCTAATTCTTTGTTGTGAGCATTGTCCTTTCCATTATATATTTGTCATCACACTCACCAGCAAGTAGTAGCCTATCTCTTTACTTTCAGTCCTGACAAAATGTCTTCAGATATTGCCAAATTTGTCATAGGAGACAAAAGTGCCTCCTGTTGAGTACAAGTAAATTATTCAAATTCATGATATGAAATATTACAACAAGCTGAAATAATTTACTATAATAAACGACATGGATTTACTAGGAATAACTGCTCAATCTTACATTTAAGTACTGTTGGTTATGTTTGAGCATTCACTTAAGAATTAAAACAATACAAGAACAAAAGAAAGTATAATTGAATATAACTCAGAGCTCATGGAGAATAAAGTGACTCTGGAATCAAAAGAAATTCATAATAGAAAAAATTTATGTGTAAAATTGAAAATATAAATAAATACATATTAGAAAACATGCAACATTTATATATACACAAAACATTCATTTTAAATCTGTAAGGCAAAAATATTATAAATGAAACTAAAAGGCAAATTACAAAATGGGGGAAGTATCATGATAATATAACGCTTAACATTAATATACAAAGAATTTTTATCATTCATAGGAAAATAATACCCCAACTTGTTAGCTGAGCAAAGGACACATTGGGTAATTCCCCACAGGGGATACAAAAGAAATCCTAGAGAACACAACTAATATTTTACTAATACTAATTTATCAGGTGATAAGCTGGGATTAAGTGAGCTCTAAAGCTTCTCAATTGCAAAATACTTTCATTCTTTGGTAAAAAAAAAAAGCAGTGAGAGTTCTATATCTAGACATGGGAAAAAGATACTCAAGTGCATACTTAATAAATCTGAAACAAAAGAAAGTTGACAATAGTAGCCAGCTGCTCCTTTTTTCTCCATTGAAAAGAAAATGAGTAAAATTAAAACTATGGCATTAAATGATTAAGCTAAAATTAAAGAAAATGTACTTGACATCAGAGT